AGAATTTATATATTAAATAATTTTTTAATCTCTATTATGTGATAAAATATATTAATACTGAATTTGAATTTAATTAAAAGTTGGGTGTATTTTCAAATAGGAGATAAATGTGCATTAAGAATTTATATATTAAATTATTTTTTAATCCTTATTATTGATAAAATGTATAAATCCTTGTTTTTTTTTCTACAATTTACATAAAAAAATAAAACTGATGATTTAAAAAATCAACACAAAGAACTAAAGTAGAAGGGGAAGTTTCTATTCATTTATTCTACATTAAAGCACATTCATTATTCATCTATTATACATTGTTGTTTTACTCTATTTTGGTGCTTAAATTTATTTTCTATTTAATTATATTCTTTTATTGTTCAATTAAACCAATTTCTTATAATTTGCAATTGAGAGTCAAAATCCTAACTCGAATGACTAAAGTGTAAAAGGTGAGGAAACCAAGTCACCAATTACAACTTTGCACGTGGAAGTCTTCATTGGTTTAAAACTTTCATTTTCATTATTTTCTAATCCTTTTAATTTCTAAAATTTAGTTTTTGAAAACTTAATTTTGTTCATTCTTAGCCTTAAGGTTGGGAGAGAAGAGAGAGGTTTATAGAAAATAACATGTAGAGTGAGAATATTCGTTCATCCACATATTTTGAGCTCTAAAAAGACAAAACTTGATATTAATGGAAATAATATGTAGAGTGAGGATGTTCATTTATCCACATTTTGAGCTCTAAAAAATCAAAACTTAATATTAATAGGTTTCTTTAAAAAAAAAAAGTTCATTGATAATGGGTTTTTCCATCAACAGTACCCAAAAAATTAGATTCATACTAAAAATATCTTTTTAAATCCATTTTTATTATTGAGTATTTGAGAGGTTTTAGGCTATTCTAGGTTTAAAAAGAAGCCATAGAGGTTTTAAAGCTATTTTTATAGTAAAAATGAGCTTAAAAATTAACTTCAGAGATCAAAAACACTTTTGCTTGATTTTCAAAAACTAAAAGTGGCCGAGAAATTTCTATGCAACAAACAAGTTATCTACTACACCTCTTGTTTTCATATTTTTTAAGATGGCATGTCATCCTCTAATAGTTGCTATAACAAGTGACGCGTTGTTAACTTTTTTTTAAAAAAAAATGGATGAATAACCTAATTTGGGATAAAAAACCTATAATACAAAATACACAGACCTGACAAGCCGACACATACCTCACCGTCTCTTTTAAGGCAATCCATTTATGATTTTTTAAAAAGTTTATATAAAAATCCATTAAAATATATAATTATAATAATATTTATGTTATTATTCCATTAAATGCTTCTTATTTTTAAATTTATTTTCAAATACCATTGTAATGTTTTTGATATTAACAAATGCTTTTTTTTCTAAACTATTCTTCTTTTTTTCCTTTAAAGTTTAATAATAAGTAATTATAATTAAACGGATAATATTATATTTAAGATGTTATTTGGCTAGAAATTATTTAATTGCCATATAATAAAGGGGAAAAAAAAATCAAGAGCTCTTAGAGGCGAGGCACGAGATCATGTATTTTAATATGCATCCGTCTTCCAACATTATAATTTAATTTTGAGTTTATATTGATAACTCTATTTTGTATTTATTAATGCCTATAATTTTTAATTTATTTCATTAAAAATATGCATCAACTTTTTTTATTTATAGTTAAAAAAATTTCTCAGTGTTAAGAAATGCATTGACAATACTTACACATTCATTTTCTATAATTCGTATTCACTTGATTCGATTTGTAATAATGCGAGTTAAAAGGCCAGTATAAACTAAACAATAAACAAAATTAAATTATATTTTTTTAATTATTTACAGTTGTATCATCATTTTTCATTCAATGACTAAATAACTTATCCTGAAAAAAAATAACAAATCTTCTCATCAAAATAGCATTCTTGATAAGGGCTTATCACCCACTTACCATTACACCATATATATCAATTTCTTTGTCAAATCAATTATGAAATTTTCCATCACTATAAAACAACTTCATGAAATTTTTTTTTTGATAATTATAAGCACATTAATATCATGAAAAATATTCCATCAATTTTCTAAATCAAACCTAAAAAGAAATAACCAAAAATTAAAGAAACAAAAAACAAATATTGATCTATAATAGTTAGAGAAATACAAAACAAAGATCCTACAAGAAAATTGATTTTTTTTCTTGAGAAAGAAAAGATTTTAAAAAACAAAAAACTATAGGGTTTAACCCAAGACAATAAAGATCTAGAAAGATAAAAATTTTAAGTCATATAATTGAATAATATGGTAAATGCATATGATCAGAAGAGAAGAAAATTATATTTTTCTAAATTATATAGCTGTTTATGATCTTTAGTCTCAATACAAATTCTAGCTAGCCAAGATGTTCATAGGTTCAAATTTTTCTTGGTTTTCTGATTTCTATGTGTGATAAGCATTATGACACATTACAATACTAATTTCATTACGAGTGTATAAAAAGAGAAGCAAGATTTGCTAAAGTTGAAGGATGACAATGTCGCTGTGATAACTAATATTTCTTCACGTGGAGGTAAGGAAAAGGTTTATTGCAAATGGGAAAAGAGTTATTATATGTTTAAGAGTATCATAATAATTATTTTTTAAAATATTTTTTATTGAAAAATATATTAAAATAATATTTTTGATATTAGTATATTAAAATATAAAAAAATTAATTAAAAATAAAAATTAAAAAATTTAAAATTTTTAAAACTTACATTTAAAATATAAAAATAAACAAATTATTAAATAAAAAAAACCAAACTCAAGAGAAAGTTTTTGTTTGGATTAGATACTATACCATAAGGATACAAAAAAGCGATAAGATAAAATTATATAATTAGTTTTTGGATATAGGGTATGTATATATATTGTTAGTTTTATTATTTGAAGTGGTTGTAGTTGTAATTGTTGTTATTTTTAAAAATATTTTTTATTTGAAAATATATTAAAATGATATTTTTTTATATTTTAAAATTATTTTTAAAATCAGGGTATTTATAATTTAAAGATATTAAAAAAATATTAATTTAAACAAAAATATATAAAAATTTTAAAATATTAAAACAAACATATATTTTCCGTAATTTACCACGGTAAAATATAAAACAGATGAGATGCTCAGTATAATTTTCCGATTTTGCAAAAGTCTGTGTCTAGTTATCTCTGATATAACGACAAATTGATAATTCAATTTGTCAAAGTGGCGCTATGATTCTGACGTGGCAATTAATAGTAGAGCAAGCACGGGATCGTGTGATGTGACGTGTTGAGAAGCGAGCTGAACCCACCGCAGCGTGAGAAGAACTGTTTAAAATTGAAATAAACATGAGCGGGAAGAATTTACACTTTCGTCTCTCTTTCTTTCTATTTCAAAAGAACTCTCTTTCTCTCTCTCTCCCCTTCCCTCCCCTCTCGTTTGTCTTCTTAGATCTGCAGATATCAGTTTTTCTTCACTACATTTGTGCGACGCTTAAGGTACTCTCTCCATATCTTCACTACAGCTTTTCTCAAACATTGATCAACACCATATCTTGATTACTATAGGAACTGAAATCAATCATCGATATTGCAATCAGCTAGTCTAAAATTAGGGTTTTACAAGAAATCTCAATTTCTGATATTTTTTTTAAATTAAAGGAAAAAAGAAAAGGAAATGGGAGTTGAGAACTATCACGTGATAGAGCTAGTAGGTGAAGGCTCGTTTGGCAAAGTTTACAAGGGAAGGCGCAAGTACACGGGCCAGGTAGCTACTTCAATCCTTCTGTGTTTCACTACTAATAATTAATCTTGATTTTTATCCTGTCTTATTTTTTTTTAATGATGAAATGATAGACTGTTGCGATGAAATTTATTATGAAACATGGGAAAAGCGACAAGGATATTCATAATTTGAGACAGGAAATTGAGGTGATTCCTCCTTTCTTTTTTTGATGATATGGAATGTTATTATCTGGAATAAATAAAATTGTGCATTGTTATTATTATTATCATTATCATTATTATTACTGGGTGCAGATTCTAAGAAAGCTGAAGCATGAAAATATTATTGAAATGCTTGATTCCTTTGAAAGCCCACAAGAGTTCTGTGTTGTCACGGAATTTGCGCAGGTTCGTTATCCATCACAACAAGCTAACATCTATTCATTATGGATTTTTTACTTTTCAGACTAGGCAAGAGCTAAGATTTGTTGATGTGCAGGGTGAACTATTTGAGGTACTAGAGGATGACAAGTCCCTTCCTGAAGAACAGGTTCAAGCGATTGCGAAACAGTTGGTAATTCCTTGAGCTCTCCTCATGTTCCCCTTCTTCTCTTGATTCTCACTGATTGCTAAATTGCTCCTCAGGTTAGAGCACTTCACTATTTGCATTCCAATCGTATCATCCATCGGGACATGAAGCCGCAAAACATACTTATTGGTGCTGGCTCAGTTGTCAAGGTCGGATATGATAGAGATTATTTTGTTCTTGTTTTATTTTCCACTTAGGTATTGGTGACCTTTTCTTTTAATGTCTTGCTTTGTTTTTCCTATCAAGGGGAGTCTTTCATGGTAACATCATGTCTTACTGTTGCTTCATTTAAATGCCGCTGTATATCAGATACTTAGCGTTTGCCATGCTTTCAAAGAGCAATGTATCTTAAGGTGAATTTCTATATGCTCTGTTTTTTTTGGCCTGTTACAGCTTTGCGATTTTGGCTTTGCACGTGCTATGTCCACAAATACTGTGGTTTTGCGATCCATAAAAGGTAAGGTCTGGTGTTTTACCACTTCTGAGGATTCCTTCTTATCCCACACTTCACTTGCATGTTTATCCATCATTCCCAGGCACACCACTATACATGGCTCCAGAGCTTGTACGGGAGCAACCATACAATCACAGTGCTGATTTATGGTCCCTTGGAGTTATCCTGTACGTGCAGTGTCCCTGTTTTGTGTGTGTTTGTGTGTGCTTGCATTCTCTCATTTAGATGTTGATCTCATGTCATCTTTGAATTTGATTCTGGTGGTCATCTGAATGGTATCAGTGTTGCAATTTTTTCTTCAAAATCTCAAGTGGCAAGGATTTTAATTTCAGGCATTTTTTCTGAGACATTTTCTGAATTCAGAGTGATATGTCATGAAAAAATATATATTGATAAAATTCCTCACATAAATGTTCCAAACTGAAATACGACTTAAAGATATAGGGTTTTGCTAAAAAATTTCAACCATTATGAGTATTTTCTATCACAGAACCTGTGTCTAACCTTTTTTTTTTCTTGTCTTCTATTTTTGCTATACATCCTTAATTGAAACTAGTTTGTTGTGGTCCCAACAGGTATGAATTATTTGTTGGCCAGCCTCCATTTTATACGAATTCAGTTTATGCACTCATCCGTCATATTGTTAAGGTTAATAATGCTTCTCCTAGATCATGCCTGAAACTGTGGTGTATGATAGTGGAAGCTAATGTTATATACAAAATCTCAGGATCCAGTAAAATATCCTGATGACATGAGTCTGAATTTCAAAAGCTTTCTTAAGGGGTTGCTCGATAAGGTGCCTCAAAATAGATTGAGTTGGCCTATGCTTCTTGATCATCCATTTGTTAAAGAAACCTCAGAGGAGCTGGATGCCAGGGTAATGTGATCCCACACTCACAATTGTTTTCATTCCTTGTTTTTCTTAATATTCAAGTTAAGAACTAGAACTTGCTACAAACTTATATTACCAGTAAAAAAGCTGCATAAACTCATCTTTCTCTACAGTTCTATATACATATATATTATATGTTTTTAGCTGATATTCTTGTCAGTAGAATATGGAATACTTTAGCACCTGATAAAAGAATCTACAGGTAATGTCTGCTGCAACTTCTGCATCCAGAGAATGTGATGCAGCACGGAGGGGTGAAGAAAATAATATGCAAGCATCAACTGGTTTGATTGCCTCAAATCCTGGTGGTTTAGCCTTCACTAGTTCTTCAGTTTTGAAACCTTCA